GGGGCCTATATTTATCTTGAGATTGACTATTTTGCTCAATGTTGCGTATCAGTGGAAATCGTTGTCAATGTAAATACCCTCTTGCGTTAATTTATGTTACTCCTCTGATGGACTCTCGCTCCTGACTCATAGTCCCGAGGGTCACCCGAAACAAGGCGAGTTGAGTGTATTACGGACTTTCGCCTTTTAGGACACACACTCGTGATCCCGAGGGTCAAAGGAAGTTGACTGTATTACGGACTCTGACTACCAAGGACGTAAACTTGCGGTTTCGAGGGTCTCCGCAATAACGGGAGCAGTCAGCCTATGGGTCATTAAAAATTCGAAAACGTGACTCGTTTCTTTTGTCTATCCTGCGCAGCGTTCTCGTGTGACCAAGGGGAGAAAACAGCGGTGACATTGAAAATACATCTTTAAGCTGATTTATCTTTTATATTATATAATATAAATGAAAACATAAACTCGAACTTGAACAAAAATTAATGTGTTATATTTCTCTTACAGAAAAGCTAATTACAAGTTTTCGTCTAAAACAAATTAAGATTGGCCAGGTTTTGGGAGGGGCCTACCGATCAAATTTTCTGAAATAATTCACCTATAAATGATAAACGTAGTTTAGTACTACTTCCGTATAAATAGTATCTGGAAACGAATAGAATACTTTATGAGCATGTCCAAATCGGATATTGAGTATACTTTACACTATATTTATCCCAGATTGGGGTATCTTGAGATATCTTGATTATTTTCGCTCTGACTTTTTCGTAGTACGATAACTGCTTATTTTAAATTAACATTTCCTACCCAACTTGGCCGACCCAAAATACTAAGATGAGCATCTCATTTCTAAACTGAATTTTCGCTGTACACTTTAAAAGCAATAACAAATGAAATCTATGAGCTCTCATAAAACTGAAAGTCAGTTATTTAATACCTATTCTAGCTGGGGAGGATCAGGCGAAAACAACTCATCACATGGTCCGTTCAAGAACGATTGGTTGTACAGCGCATTGTTAAAGGGGCTTATGTCACGCATCTGCTATAGCTATCCTGCTTTTTGAAAGCTTAAAGGCGTGTTTGCATCTACAAAAAGTTCCAGAAATAATGGTCCAGTTTTGTTATTCGAGACTGTAATTATTTGCATTGAAACCGTTCCCTGTCGTCTGTTGCTATGGATAGCAACCAGTTAAACTGGAGTGAAAGATGATAGCACTTGATCCTGTCGCAGGAAAGCGACGCAGTGGGGATTCAGTATGGTGAAGACGATTCCAAATGTACATCGNTATATTTATCCCAGATTGGGGTATCTTGAGATATCTTGATTATTTTCGCTCTGACTTTTTCGTAGTACGATAACTGCTTATTTTAAATTAACATTTCCTACCCAACTTGGCCGACCCAAAATACTAAGATGAGCATCTCATTTCTAAACTGAATTTTCGCTGTACACTTTAAAAGCAATAACAAATGAAATCTATGAGCTCTCATAAAACTGAAAGTCAGTTATTTAATACCTATTCTAGCTGGGGAGGATCAGGCGAAAACAACTCATCACATGGTCCGTTCAAGAACGATTGGTTGTACAGCGCATTGTTAAAGGGGCTTATGTCACGCATCTGCTATAGCTATCCTGCTTTTTGAAAGCTTAAAGGCGTGTTTGCATCTACAAAAAGTTCCAGAAATAATGGTCCAGTTTTGTTATTCGAGACTGTAATTATTTGCATTGAAACCGTTCCCTGTCGTCTGTTGCTATGGATAGCAACCAGTTAAACTGGAGTGAAAGATGATAGCACTTGATCCTGTCGCAGGAAAGCGACGCAGTGGGGATTCAGTATGGTGAAGACGATTCCAAATGTACATCGGAAATCCATCTTCTTCTTTCGTTGGCCTGCAATGGATTCAAGACAGCAAAAACCAAGTTATTATTGGCTCCACTTCTTTGTAAAGGTTGGGTGGGCGCCTAATCCCTTAAATAAGCTCTATAATTACCGTAACCCTCTATTAAGCTCTCGTAGGGTTTATTTATTTCAAACAAATTTGAGGGAGGGGGGCCTACATAATTTAGCAAAGACGATGGTATCAGTTCTCCATAAAGAACTATAACTGCAAATTGTAAAAGCTCAAGTACAATGGTTGTAGGTCATGCAGCCGAGGATCAAAAACAAATCCGAAAGTCCAGCTGCTGAAAAAAAACTATCGTGGACCAGTCCACATAAAGTGTTACAGTTGTGATTCATAAATAAAGTACATCATAAATTAGTGAAGAATAATAAGGAGGGGAGGGAAGGGGAAGAGGGGCTTAAAAGAGAAGGGGGGCTTATTAGACGGGGAGCTTATTTGAGAGAGGGGGGGGGCTTAATAGAGGATTTACAGTATGGGTGGCCCAGGGAAAATGGATTCTTTTGACCTGAAACTGGGTATGGACTCTGGGCCCGAAATCAGGTGAGCCTAAAATTTGTGCTCCAAGGAAGAAAGGCCTGGAATTGGGTATGTTTTTATT